ACTGTGTCTCTCCATTTGTAGAACTTTCTTCTCTGCAAATTGAAGGTGTTTATTCCTCAGTGGCTTGCCTCCAAAAGATTTGTAGTCGCTGGTTCCACTTTAGATTAAAAACAACTGAAAATGAGTTAAAAATCATCAGTTCCCATCTTATAACCCAGGAAGTACTACCTAAGGACAAGTCATGTCTTCCTTTGTGCTTTTTCAGGGCAGCAGAGTAGAGGTAGTAATGATGATGGGACTCACAAGGACTGTGGGGTTGTTCCTAGGAGACATCATCTCCTTTGCCCCTTCTTATCACTTGCTGAGTGCCTCTGGCAAATAAATTTATTATCTAGGAGATGGTGGGAAGGAAGTCATAGTCCTAAGGTGCTTTGACAAAAAGTAGATACTGAAATTGACTGGCAGTGTCTTTAGGGAGCTGGGCTAAGTTTAAAGGCTAGCAACAGATGAGAAGCCGACAACACAATGCTTAGAAATTTGAATTTGTTTGGAGTGATGTGAATGGTCATTTTTAGTTTGTTGTCTTCTCTAAAGCTAAACACTAAAAACTGGAACCAGAGACTATAGTGAGTAATCTTGGTACGTCCTCTCATCTGCACTTCAAATAGAGAAAGGGCTTTGGACTCTTCTTCCCAGCCGCCATGCCCAAAGCTTCACAGAGCATCTGATGGGTTCCACCATTTGCATTTTTCAGTGGCCCAAGGATATGCTTGTTTTTATTTGGGTGTGGGGCCTTGTTCTAGAAAGTACCCAAGATCAGTACTGTACTATGAACATGAAGATGTCTATGTACACACATACATACTTGAGTGTGGGGCCAGATAATGATCTTCAAAATATTACTAATACTTAGAGATACACATGTGAAAATATTTCTTAAATCGGAAAAGAACAGCTTGACTGGTCTCAGAACCAATACTCAGAAACAGTATTGCCAACTTCTCTGAATACTCAATGGCACCACTCCCATTCCTACCAACAACTCAGTAGAGAGCCAGGCAGGGAAGACTGTTAGCTTTGTCCATCCTCTGTATTTGATCCTCCTCCATTTCCCTGCACAGTGGAACATATGCTGAGAACTATAATGCATTGAGAAGTCTTAGTCACATAAACACATTAGACATTTGGACTGCCATTTGCGTGCTCATAGTCAGTCATGGTTTTGTGTTTTATGTCTGGACTTAAAACTTCCCCAAGTGTAGGTTTGAAGATGGTTATTGACTTCATTTTAGAGGCAAGGAGACTGGCGCACAGTCACTCAGGGTTTTTTTTGGCAAGTTTGTTTGATTGCACAGCCCTAGCTTTTGCACAGGTATTCTTAACCTACAGGTGACTGCAATAATAGAAGGGAAGCCTTCTGTAGGCAGAGCACCGAGTGGGAGATCCTGTGCTATAGGGAGCTGATGCTTAGAGAGGCTATGGTGTGGTGGTATCGTGTTCCCCAAAGTATTGTGCACTCTAATAAACTTATCTGGGGTCAGAGACAGAACAGCCACTAGACACAAAGGCTAGAAAATGGTGGCACTCACACCGTTAATCCTAGCATTCCAGAAGTAGAAATCCCTCTGGATCTCTGTGAGTTCAAGGCCACATTGGAAACAGCCAGGCATGGTGACACACGCCTTTAATCCCAAGAAGTGAGCCTTTAATCCCAGGGAGTGATGGCAAAAACAGAAAGATATATAAGGCGTGAAGACCAGAAACTAGAAGCATTTGGCTGGTTAAGCTTTTAGGCTTCTAGTAGCAGTTCAGCTGAGATTCATTCGGATATGAGGACTCAGAGGCTTCTTTCTGAGGAAGCAGGATCAGCTGAGGAACTGGCAAGGTGAGGAAGCTGTGGCTTGTTCTGCTTCTTTGATCTTCCAGCATTCACCACAATAACTGGCCTCAGGTTTGATTTTATTAATGACTCTTTAAGATTCATGCTACACTATGGGGTGGTTTGCCTGGGCCTTGCCTCTGCTGCCTTTTCTAGGTCTCTTGTCTAAAATTCCCAACTGTGTGTAGATTCCCAACTTCCTTTCTAGGACTGCCCCCTGTCAGTGTCACACATGGGAGCACATGCCTGTAAATATGCGTGTTTCCATAGTCCTTTTTTTTTCCCCCACATGTGCAGGATGTCCCCCTTGTCCTCTTCATAAGACATTACTTTTGGAAATCTGTTCTCTTCAAGGTACCCACCTAAGGTGTTCCCTTTCTTCAAAAAACGTTCCGAGTTTCATGTTGCATATGGGGGCATAAGCTAGCCAAGTTTTCTAGAACTTTCTTCCATAGCATATCAAGAGAAAAGTTGAAGAGACAAAAGAATATAGCAAACAGGCTACTGTTGTGATTTGAAGAACAGTTTTCAGAAACCATTTGAAAAACATGTTAGCACTCAGTGACTGATGTGTAGCACTCATGACAGTAGCCCCAGTTCCTGCTCCCCACCTGTCTCTATCTGCAGTTGCTGGGATGGTCTTCTCAAAGCTATACCCTTGACCTGCTTTGGCTGGCACTTGTCTCCATTCCTGGAGCAGAGCAGTGTGTCTATTTCTGTCTTTCTTTTCATTTATTTATTTATTTATTTACTTTTGTTTTTTTGAGACAGGGTTTCTCTGTGTAGCTTTGAAATCTGTCCTGGAACTCGCTCTGTAGACCAGGCTGGCCTCGAACTCACAGAGATCCACCTGCCTCTGCCTCCTGAGTGCTGGGATTAAAGGTGTGCGCCACCACTACCCAGCGTATCTATTTCTGATAGCTTGTATCTACATGGCACCCTTCCCTCCCCATCAGTGAATGTTACCTACATTTGTTTCTTATTGCTGTTGAGGTTGTTTTTCTCTTCATGCCATAGAAGTAACCTTAAAATAAGCCATTATTACACATCGTTGTTCTTTGATTTCTCTGAAGCCCCCTGGCCTTTTGCATGTTAAGGCGCACTTTTCCTTTTTGTTCAGTTCTCTCCTGAATTACTGGAGTATACTTGGATTGACTATCTCCTCTTCTCAAGGTGTTTCTACTGCCACAGTGCCTCCTCTTCCTGATGCTGTGGAGGCTCTAATGATTTCATCCTGAGACAGAATCACCTCTTTTGATAGAAGCCCAAAAGCTACATTCCAGAGTCTACTGTACCTCAAATTTATATTTTCCTTCGTCTGTTGGCACAGCCATATCTGAATGGAATGGCAGAAGTCATACAACCAGTACAGCTGCTTGACAAAGATCCAGCAGAGCTGAACCAAATGATGGCTGCCATGTCACCTTTGGTTTTCATCTCCACCTGTTACATACTTGGGCACTTTTAATATTTGTACAATTTGAGGACATTGGATTGATGAAAAATTCCTTATGAATCATTTATGCCTTCTTCCAGGAATGCTGCTTCTAAGCTTATCCAGGGAAGTTCTGAGCATACTATCCCCCCCCAACTTTGAGGGAGATATTCTTATCTACTTGAAGGTCTTCCTTATGCCTTGGAGGTTGTGACACATAAAGAAGAAGCCAGAGATCTCTTTATGAGGCTATGAGATATTCTTGAAACATTTGTCCCTATACTTACACTGGAACAAGATATTCAAAACAAAGTAAATTCAAAAAGGTCAACAAGATCTGGTGGGCTAAAGGAGTTGGCCACAGCTCAGATTACAAGCCTCTTCCCATTGTTCACTCAGACAATTACATGGCATACAACGCTGCCCTACATAGAGACATATTGATAAGTAAAGTATGGAAAGATGATAAAAGTATGAGATGTTAGGACCTCCCTCTCTTAGAAGTTAGCTAATGTAGAGACACTATAATGTCATATGACCAAGGAACAACAGAATGCCAAGATTAGACATATAGACAAATTCTATAAGGATATAAATGTGAACATTGATTGTAATTACTGTAGCTTTAGCCTGAGAGTTTTTCCTGGGCAGTCTGACCACTGAGAATTAGTAATACATTACTTGAGACATGGCAAAATGGCCAGGGTGGTTGAAGGTTTTGTTTTGGTCTAGTGTCCTTGAAGCAACCAAAACAACCAGCCTGAGCACAGGCTGTCATATGCCTCTAGATTCTCAAAAACTGGTTTATGGGGTTTATGAATAAGAATGATAACTCTGTTTATTAATGATGTCAGAACTTGAGGGAAAATGATTGGCAATGATAACTCTGTTCTGTCATAGTTTATTAATGATGACTAAAAGATGAGCAAAAGGAAGTGAAACACATGTCCAAAAACAAAAATGATATGATCTATGTTTCGGAACATCATGAATGTATCCCTGCTAACTAAATTCTGTATAAATAAAGAAACACTCTGGCTGCTAGTCAGTCAGGCTGCAAGATTCTCCCAACCACCATGGCCTGGCTCACTTCCTTCTCCCGCCGACTCCTTACATCCTCTGTAGGACCCATCCACCACTGGGGGATGGCTCCTGGCAGTCTGTGCTCTGCTGTGTCCTTTGCACGTTCCCTATTGAAATTGGTAGTTTTCTTGTGTCTGATTTCTGTATTACATATGAGCTGCAAAGCTGATTGAACTATTGACAGTATCAGTTTCCTTGTGAAAACTGGTAAATTTGTGCCTCCAAGCTGAACCCAACCAGCAAGACAGATGCTGGGACACAGACTAGAGTCAGAGTCTAAGAATAAAACCCAGTGAGAGGAAAGAATAGACCCTGGAAGAAGAGTTGTGTTTCATCTTCCTTAAGTTAAACTTATTTTCAGAGTCAAGTGCCCATGTCCTCTTCCTAATTCACACCAACCCTAGCAGGCAATGGGAGCATGCATCTGTCCCTGGCATACACACTGCACAGTACACAGCTCTCTCACCAGTCTCAAATGCACATCTCTTGAGAAGTCAGATGACCCTATTCTCTGTTTCAGAGAGCTGTGTCCCATATTAGTAACAGGGTGGTGTTTTGTCCCCCACATCACTACCTGTTTTTACTTGTCATTCTCTTGATGTTTATGGACTTTGACTTTTGGGATCTATTAAAGGTAACATGCTCTTTGTTTGTGTTTTGCAGAAACTATCTCTTCAGATTACGGCTTGAGGATCTGTCTCTCATCCAGGTAGGTGCAATGTGTTTTCCATAAGTTTTCATTTTTCCACCTCAAGGAACTGAAGACAGATGCATGTAAAGTTGTTGATCAGGGTGAACAAGGTTCATTTCCCCAGTGGTCAGGCCCCAGGACTCTTAGCTGCCTTACCTGATGTGAAACACCACCTTCTTTAATTTCCAATTAGCCATTTCCTCCTGCATGTGGTCTCTTCACTCCCTGGATGTCATTCTGACTTTCTTTTCATCAGATGATAACAGCGCGAGGGACATCCCTTGAGTCCTGGAAGCATCTCTAGTTAGAGCAGGTATTGATTGTTTAGCTTGATGCATCTAGCTATCATGATCTGATGAAACACCCTTTTCTCCTCTGTTTATCATTATGATGATAACTATGATGATAACATTATTATGATAACTATGAATGCACTGGGTAAAGGCCACATAAAGTGAAGAGAAAAAAATTAACCTCTAAAAATGAAACTTGTTTCTGTTGCCACTTGGAGAATGAGCTTGACATCCTTGTGCTTGACTGTTTATTTTAGTGCAGATCTGATCACTGGAGCTTCTTTTCTCCCTCTAGTCTCTTAGGAAATTGTGCCAGGCAGGGTCTTCTTGAAGGGAAAAGAGGGGAGATACACAAAACTCCCCTACCAGTGTTCCCAGGCTTCCTGCAGACTGTGTTGGAATCCCCGGGTTGTGCATAGTTTGGAAAATGGGCTTGAAACAATTTTAGAAATACCCTACTGTCCCAGGCTCTAAGGAGTTACTGGGCAGAGGTTGATCCTTTTCGTCTAGAATGCTTGTGCTTGTGAACATTCCAAAACACTAGTACTCGAGTTTAATATCAGATCCACCTTTCATTTTCCAATGTCTTAAAATAAGAAACTCCATAATCAGCTAATATTGCTATCCTTATCCCTGGACTTGTCATCCAGCACTAGGCTTATTAGTCATTATCAATTTCTTCATTGACAAAATAGCCACCAATCACCTTAACCATATGCTATCCCTATTCAATAAGGATAACCAAAACCACTCAAAGGAGGTGAAGCACAGTCGTTGTTCCACAGTTGTATATAGCTTCTGCTTTTTAAGTGATGTAGATGGATAAATCTTGGTAATAGTTTTATTGTGTTGGACACCAAATTGCCTGCTCATTGAAGCTGAGTGTACAACTTTAGCTGAACTGACTGTTAAAATGTGAGTTTATTAATAGGCAATCAAAAAGATCAGCAAGCTACAGGTACTCTCTTAAATTAAACAAAACAGTCCCAGAAATACAGAGACTGAAGGATGTCACTTATGTGTAAATCAAATGACTAATTCAAAGTAGCAGAGAAAAGAATGGCTACTGAAGGCTTGAAAGATGCAGAAAAGATTGGAAAGGCCTTGCCCAAAGTATGCACAATTCCAGTTAGACAGCGGTAATAACTCTAAGAGACCTCTCATACAGCTTGATAATTTCACTTTTAATAACTGTACTGTGTACTTTAAAATTGCTAAATACAGATTTTAAATGTTCTATCCACAGAATAATAGTAAATGTTTTAGGTAGTACACAGATTATGTAGCTTGAAGCTATTCTGCAATATATATACATATAATAAAATCATGTTATATTCATAAATATATAATTTAATTTTTACTGAAAACCAAGCAACAGTTTAAAACAAAAATTTTAACATAATTTTAAAAATTATTATAAATAATATGAAATATAGACCATTCAATATATAATATGTTCATTTCTACTCTCATGGTATAATACAGTATCTAGCTTCTCATCTGTGAAACATGGGCTGTGAGTTGGGGAGATGACTTACGCAACTGGTTCTTAAGCAGCACCAATGTGATAGGCAGGGTGGTGGTATGCAGCACTTATAATCTCAATGGCAGGGAAGTGGATCAGGTGGATGGATCCCTGGGCCTTGGCTTACTGCCTAGAAAGTCTAGCATACTTGATGAATTCCAGACCAGTAGAGACCCTGCTTCCAATTAAAAATAAAAGGCGAATTTTGCTTGCAGTGGTCCCCTGTCTTCCATATGCATACACATTCATGAAAGAATAGACTCTCACAGAATTGTGCATCTGCACACACATGAATATTACACCCACCCTAACACAGGCACATAGTAGGTGTGCAAATGTGTGCAAAGAAGCATGAAAGAAACAAGTGTGGTGTTTATTTGTTTCCTCCTTTCCTAGCTCTTGGATTTTGAGGTTCTAGAAGCATTAAATTCCAGGAAAGTGAGCACAGTTTACAAACAGAAGTTCCCACTGTGGGAAGCCAGTGTTTCTTGGAGAGATGATGATTCTAGGATAGAGAAAGAGTGATGTCAGATTAGAATGAAGGAGCTTGTTTTAGAAAGGGAGGAGGTGTTCAGAGATGGGTGATGATCTGGCAGGACACAGAAGCCATCTGGGAGTGGGCTCCCTGAAGAAATGGAAAAATTGACTGCCAGGAGATGGTAGAAGTAGCAGATTATTGAACATTGAATCAGATAAGAATTTGTGAGCATATGTTAGCATTAAAATAATAAAAATGAGGCAAAAAAGCCAACTAAAATATTGAAGGAAAAATCTAATAGAAAATTAGGATTTGGCAACCATCCCACTGAAAACCCTATGACATAAACATGATCCTTGGGTGGTAAATTTATTAATTGGATTTGAAGAGAACCGGAATATTGGTATTATCATGGCACTTATAAAGATAATGGTTACTAATTGCACATGGAAAACTTGCACCTTGACAGTGAAGAACCTTCCTATGAACCTATAACTAATCAGTGTATCATGACTTCAGTAGTAATAGGCCAAGTATCTATGATTTTTTTGTACTGAGGAAGCAGCAGGGTTTCCATGACAACTTACCAAAAAATTATAAATCTCATCATACAGAAACATCACTCAAACCCAGATAAACATCTGACAAAAATCTGGCTTCAAACTTTCAAGCATTACAGTCATGTGATGCATGTGTATCTGAATAAAGAGTTGCTTCTTCCAAAAAGAGAACACGTAAATATGTCTATCAAGATATAATACTTACTCCAAACTGATGCTTAAAACACGCTCTTTTTCATGCTACAAGTGGCACTTTTGAGACAACTCAAAAATTCGAAGGTCAGTAGATAAGATAGAATCTTAATGTCCTATAAATATACAAATATTAATCCCCTGATTTGCGTAATTATGATGGTAAGTGTTATGGAAGAGAATGCCCTTATTTTTTTTGGAAAGCCATAACAAAATGTGTGGGGCTGCTATGGTTTGAATGTAAAGTGTCTTCCACAGGCTTGTGTGTCTGGACACTTGTCCTTAGCTGATGGTACTGTTTGGGAACATTGTGGGATCTTTAGAGGTGGAGCCCTGATGGAAGAAGAAAGTCACAGCGCTGGGCTGGAGGGTAGGGATGAAGCGGGGCTTCATAAGCCAGCTCGACTTTCTCTTCACTTTCTGCTTTTTGCCTGTGGATGCAGCGCAACCAGACCTCCTGGTCCTGCTGCTAAGGCTTCCCTGCCATGATCCATGACAGAATGTAGTTCTTGGAACTGTGAGGCAGAATGAAGCCTTTCTCACTTAAATTTCATCTTGTTCGGTATTTAACCACAGCAAAGTGAAAAGTAACTAATGAAGGAATAAAGGGCATCACATTTGTAAGTTCCTCATGAGTAACTTAAGTCGTATGTGTGCACTTGCTGCAAACACCTACAAAGTGAATTCTTTGATAACATTAATGGGGAAGTTGGGATAAAAATCATAATTATTCATAAAAATCACATCATAATAAATTCAGAGAGCTCCAGGCATGTAGTTACTATTAAGCTGAGAATAGCATGTTGCAAGGGCAAGGAGACTAATTGCCTTCCCAGGCATCACTTCCTTTTGCCAGGACTACCTTTGACAGGGTCACATGAAGGTTGTCTACAGCAGAGAGCACTCTTACTGAAAAAGAGAAGCATGTCAGTCTTGCCACCCGGAGTGACCTCAGTCTGCTCACACAGACTGGGGTAGATAGTGACATCTTACTGGCGGTTTTCAAAACACAGCTCTGGCCGGGCGGTGGTGGCGCACGCCTTTAATCCCAGCACTTGGGAGGCAGAGGCAGGCGGATCTCTGTGAGTTCGAGGCCAGCCTGGGCTACCAAGTGAGTTCCAGGAGAGGCACAAAGCTACACAGAGAAACCCTGTCTCGAAAAACCAAAAAAAAAAAAAAAAAAAAAAAAAAACACAGCTCTGATAACGGGAGCCACCCTCCACCTGCTGAAGCGCATGCCAAGCAGTGCAGCTCTCCTGTCAAGTGTCTGTGTCTGCAGGACTGTGGCCTGTTGTTTATTTAGTGTTACTAGAGATAAAGCTAACAATTCTTTTCAACACTGTTTGTTTCTCATATGTCCCCAGGAAACAGGTCTTGTTGAATTCCATGAATATTTTATTTTTATTTAAATGACTACTTCCAAGGGTGAAAAAAAATAATGGAATAAACACTGGCAAACAAAGGGCTACATTGTTCTAATGAATGGGTCATCTGAGAAGCCTGAGGATGGCTCATTCCATAAAGACACTTGCTGTTGAACCCCAATCCTGAGTTTGCTCTCGGGAATCACATGGTAAATCTACATGCATGCACGCATGCGCGCACACACACACACACACACACACACGTGAGAGAGGGAGAGAGAATGTGTGTGTGTGTGTGTATGTGTGTGTGTGTGTGCTAAAATAAAATGTAATATTAAGTCTTAGGTAGTTCTATATTATCTGTTAATCTCAATGAAAAAATAAAGACACATAGTGTATCTTTTATTACTGTAGCCCAATATTGCCATTCTAACATAGGATTATTACAGGAAGTAGCTGAGATATTCTGACTTCATTGTAAGTATCAAGGCTTGTTTGCATTTTGTGTCTCTAGCCTGCATTAACTGAACCGGCCATGTTGGGTATTCCGTGCTTCTGCTGGACAGTGCAGTTGTGAGGAGGAACAGGATATTTGTAACTTCTGTG